TTAAAAATCTAAAAAGCTGTGTCTGTCTATCCACCTAACCTAACCCTTTAAATTTCCCTTCAATTTTCCGAAATATCCCAAACTTAATTCTTAAAATCTGCAACGTGTTTATACGAACGGGGATTGAAAAGAAACAAGCGGTAGCTAACGGGCAAGTTTGATCGATATCCAACTGCCCCAGTGTTATTTCGCGATTCGACTGTTTCGATGCTTTGGAAAGCTTGAAAACATGCGTCAGTAAAACATCAACTATCCAGATAAGCAGATAAGGGAGTGGTATGTGTACATTAGAGCAAACCACTTGTCCGTGTATTTGTTCGCACGACAGGCTGCATATGTGGCCGGACTCGGGAACGACGAACGGATATGTTTCGCGAAGCCATGACAGCTGCGCATTCGGTACATAACTGGATCAGAAACCATGCAATCGTATCTACTTTTCTACTTACGCTTTAGTTGGGGTGCTTCGCCTACATGCGATCACGGCGATATAGCAACCCGATTACCAGAACTTTTCGTTTCTTTTTAAATACTCATTGACACGAAGAGCTGCCAGTTTCTTGGAATCAGATTTTTCCTTCACGAATACTATAGAAGATTGCCGAAGTGCAACCTATAGAAGATAGTGAAGCTCTAGTATAAATACCACTGTTTCTGTTAAATTATATATACAATTTTTAATTGGAAACTAAGTCGAAATAATCGATGCGAAGAATTTACAATGATGTATTAAAATAAACTGCCCGTAGGAAATTTAATTAAAAAATAAATCTGTATCTCTGAATAGACGAGATTAAATTCGAGATCCAATTTTTATTCTTAATTAGCAGAAGTTTCAATTAACGACAGTGAAATAGATCGTTAATTAAAAAAGTCCTCGGTTAAAAATAGCATTCAATCTTTCGGCAAAGGCATAATTAAAAATTAAACGTTAATTCTCGATTAGAAAATCATTCGACGAGGAATTGAATCGCGATTGTTCGTCGAATGAAATTCAATTAACGAATTAAACGTTAATTGTTAATTAGCGTTGAATTAAATCGAAAAGTAAATTAATCATTTGAAGCCGTAGCAGATATCGGTAGTCGGTGAAAGAGATCGAGGAGTCGCACGATACGACAAATAGACGGAGGTGGGGAATTTAACGATTCCTCGTCCCCGCAATAATTCCTCTCATTTTTCCGCGTTGATTCTCATCCGGCAGCGTTTTCTGCGGATTCGCTCGCGCGTTAACCGTGCGATGCGAGATACCGCGAAACGTGGGAAACCTCTCGCCCACTTTATTACGACGCTTTTGTAGTCACGCTCTCGCGCGGCCGAACAGATTTTCTTCGAATGATTCGCCGCGAGCGAACTTGCCGAGTTTAAACCTCTCTCGTGTATCACCGTCGACCGACCATAATTTTCTAGCCACCTGTAAACGATCACGCTGGAATCCAGAGCGTCCGCTTTCTAAAAACCGTAAGTAATGCAGGAAGATCGTCCGATCGATTAAACCGAGGCTGGAGAATGGGGAGGATTGCTTCTCCGTTTTCTTGCTCGTGATCCGGCTCGACTCGATAATTGATTAATGGAAATAAAGGAGAACGTAGGGGACAATGAAGGTGAACTGGAAAGAATAAACTGGATAGGAATGTACCTGAGATAGCCAATTGCTCTGTTGCCAGCTGTCTTTAGATCACCACTTCTGATATAACAGTCCGATGGAGCCTGATGTGTTTTTAACGAGAATAAAATAATGACGAGGTACAGTAATGTGGACGCTTAAAATAATCGCTGCGAGTACCATTTTAATTCTTAACGACAAGAATATCCTCCACGAACGATATCGTTTTACGAGAATATTAAAACACTCCTACAAATTACGCTACCACTTCGATAGTTTATTCCAACGAATGAAACATGGACACGTAACCACAATCGTCTGAATGAATATTCATTCGCTAGCACTTTTAGAATGTCCAAATCTTTTATCTCTTAACACCAAAACTACCAAACCGGTCAAATGACCGCTTTACAAGTTTTTCATAAGGTACACATTTTGATAAATGCATTCCTTGAAATCAGTATTGATTCTCATCACGATAAAAAATAAATGTGTACTAATTTATGTTTCATTATTTGTTTATTTATTTTGTGACTTCATTTTTATTTTCAAATTAAGTATACATTACATGTCGGTAGGTTTAGTTTTAAAAACGAAACGTGATCGTAAACTGTTCAAATCTCAGAAGCATTAATGTAGGAAATGACCGGAGGAAAAGTTGATTCGGTTTTAAAATAAACCACCAAACGAGAATCGAGGATGAAACGCATTCGCAATTTTCGTTTCACAGCAAATCTCGGATGAAAATAACGCAGCTAACGGCTAAACGGCGTTGCACTTGGTCGAGGATACGCTTTGATCATCCATCAACTGTCTGGATACGTACTTTTCCCTGGTTGTTGACGGAATGCGTACGCGAAATATAATTCCCGGCTCGAGGCGGCACGTAGCGCGCGTATTATTACGTGTACGGCATCGACGTGTCTAATTACCTTCGATTCAATTTCGAAATTGCGTTTCTCTTCCTACCAACACTTACCTACATTCATCGAAAAGAAAAAATAAGGACCTTGCTGCAGCTCTTACTTACAAATTACATGTGTTTATGAAATTGCTTTTAATTTGCATCGAAAAGAGAACACTGGGAATATGTGTACACTAATAGTCGTTTATGATACGCTTATTTGATGCTGTGTGTACAAATAATACATATACATTACATTGACTTACTATTGCTTCATCAAACAAAATATAGCCATAGATATCTTTCCATCCATGGAAATATTTTCAGGTCCACAAAAAAATGTCAAAAACCGATAGGTAGAGAAATGTCTAAAAATGGATTAGTCCGCAATAAATTTTTGCTGTACGTTCAGAGTCCGGTTCGTCGGTTTGCAACGCATGAGCGTCCATACAATTAATTATTGACCCGTTTTAATCGCGTTAGGTCTAATTAGTGGGGAGGGAGTCCGTCTCAAAGTTGTTAATTAAATTGGTTAATGCGATAAAGGAGTCCATAGCGGAGTTCTCTTCGTTCCCTTTTCTCTTCCCGCCTCTTTCGTTTCCCCTTCCATCCTCGAGTCTCTTTTGTGTTCGTTCGCTACTTGCACAGAACCTGCACGGATACCTTTAGCCACCGTGATCACTTCAATTATACCGGGTTACACCGATCGAACCAACGACGCTGTTCAACCTCGTGAGAAGCCGTCGTCGCGGTTTATAATGGACGCCACGCTCGGCCACTTACGATGTTTACGCGCCACGGCTCCATCGTAATCCCATTGAGAAAGTTCCTGTAACAAGAAATGATCGAGCTGTGTTTACCATTATTCTTATCTTTTCTGTTTTTGCAAGATTACTATTACGCTGCAATCGTTTCACATACTTTCGCAAAACATTCTCGTGTCTGCCGGTAGATGACATTAATATCGACGCCTTCGAACAACTGCGTAGATTCCATTTTGTGGAACTTTGAAAGTAGCCCTTTGCGCTCGAGAGATGACTCTCAGTCATTTTATTTAATTTTTTAACTGATTCTATAATATGACACGTGTGACGTATAAACATAGTGAAACGAACAGTGTATATTATTAGTAGAGAAACAATAAAACCTCAAAAGATTTCATTTAACTAAGTTGCTGTTTGCAAACAGTCAAATTACCTTCGATAAGGGTTAAGTTGAAAATTAGGATGAATCGTTTTGAATTAAGAATCTTTGGTGTTAGACACCCTGTTGCAAAACTAATTTTCACACCTATCGTGTTACTCTAGCTGGTAGCAGCTACTACTTTCACGAAACATTGAAAAAAGTAAAACAGTTTCAATCCGATCGATGGTGTTGAATTTCAGCCGGTCAATACGCCAGCCGATATTACAAAACCGAGAACGATTATAACGGTGCGGACAAGTCGATAGCGATCACGAGGATAATAAATATTCCGTGGCTTCCGTGTTTTAGCGTACCGTCGATTCAAGAACATTGGCTCGGGAGTCGAAGGACTTATGTGTGTCTCGACGAGATTTTGTACGCTCGTTTTTCAAGCTTGTGTGAGCAATATTGCGACGGAGGTAGAGGTCGCAGCGGTCGTTTGCAGTTGGTCATCAGATTTTAAATTTTAGATACATCAAATTGTCGAAAAAAAAATTGAGAGTGGAAAATTGGTAATTTATGGATTTACACTTTGTATGTTTAGAAATTTGAGGATTGGTTTCGGAGTTGAGGATTAGTTTAGAAGTTTGAAGATTTTGGATTTCAGGAATTTGTCCTTTGAGAAAGTATTAAAATTTTCTAATATGTTTTTCGTTCATATCTTATTCTGCTATTAGAGCTTCTCATTTACTTGTCATTTTGCTACCCACCATTTTGATCAGGGTCACGCGCACACGACAACGTTGCATTCGCTAGAAATAACCGCAATTGCGTTGACTTGGAAAGGCGGTTATTAATTGTAATTAATATTCATGCCGATAATGACAACCGGTAATATGTGCATTACCATAGGTAAACGAGAACTCGTGTAAATCGCGGGTAATCGATATACATACGTAAACGTCCATATAAATTTTCATCTTGCAACGAGACGATCGTAGAGCTGGGAGTAGTCAATTTGTAAGCTACCCTGAAGCGTATTCAATAAAAAAGGAGTAGAAAGAGAAGAAGTGGAAGCACATAGAGCGGTCTGTGAGCCCTTAAAAGCCGCGTAAAGATATCGACGACGTGGATTAAACGTAGCTCGTTATACGTGTCGCGGTGGTAAATCGTCGTTGTAAATCAATTGGCCAGATCTGGCCAGGCTGGACGGTCTGATAAATAGGATTAACTGATTTACATGAACGAGATTCGTTCGGGCCGCATCGATCATAATCAACGCAGCCTGGAAATCACGATCTAGAATTAATTCCCGTCGATGCAGACAGGTCGAATCAACGGTTGTTTTCTGTTTTTTCGTTGCAGGCCAATCCATGCCAGCATCCGATCGTGATCCTGAGGGACGTTGCCTCGTCGGACATGGAGTCGTTACTACGTTTCATGTATCACGGCGAGGTTCACGTGGGTCAAGAGCAGCTGGCCGCGTTCCTGAAGACGGCGCAGATGTTGCAGGTTCGAGGATTAGCCGATGTGAACAGCGGTGCTGCTACGGCCAAGATACCGCCACCGCCGTCGTCTGCTGGCAACAATGGCAGTGCGCCGGTATACTTTCATTTTTTACTAATTTATTTTATATTTAGGAACACTGTTACTTTACTGGGGATATTTGGTGTGATTCTGGACCAGTAATGAGCGTTGGGGGTTTGGAGAGTTAGAGAGTTAGGGAGTTTGGGAATTCGGGGATTTGGGAATTAGGAAACGTGAGAATTTGGGGTGGAAGAATTTGGGGATCTATCAATTTAGGGATTTGAGAATTTAGGGGCTGCCAAATTAGGGACTTGAGAAGTTGGGGATGTGAGAATTTGGAGATGTGAGAATTTGGGGATGTGAGAATTTGGGAATGTGGCGATTTAGGGATTTGAGAATTTGGGGATCTGAGAATTTGGGAATGTGAGAATTTGGGGATGTGAGAATTTGGGGATGTGGGATTTGGGAGATTTGAGAATTTGGGGATGTGAGAATTTGGGGATATGAGAATTTGGGGATGTGAGAATTTGGAGATCTGAGAATTTGGGGATGTGGCGACTTAGGGATTTGAGAATTTGGGGATTTACGAATTTAGGGATCATAGAATTTGGACCAAGAATTGGGGATCTATCAACTTAGAGAAATATGAGAATTTGATAATCTGCCAACGTAGGTATCAACAATTTAGAGGTTTGAGAATTTGAGGTCTCTTGAATTTTGACATTTAAGCATTTGGAAATTTGAGAACTTTGATTCTTGAGACTTTAGAGGTCCAAGTACTTGAGGATTCAGCAATTTAAAATCTTAAAAATGTTCAGATCTGAATACTTCATTTGACAAACAGCAAATTTGACAACTTTGGTTCTTGAGACTTTAGAGGTCCAAGTACTTGAGGATTCGTGAATTTGAGATCTTGAAAATATTCTGATCTGAAAACTTCATTTGAAGACTTGCGAATTTGAAAACTTAAGAATTTCCTAATGTAAGAACTTGAAAACTAAAAATTTTCTTAGTAATTTGTTAACAAAGATCTTCTAACTGCATGTTGCAGGCAACCCCACGCAATCCCTGGCAAGATAACGCCAGAGGTGACCTTGCCGAGGGTGCTTTGAGTCCACCACCAGAGAAAAGACCCAGAAGTTACAGTCCTCCACTGGGTAACCACATTGAACAGAAGTCAGATGTTCAAGACTCACTTTTAGGTCAAGCTCTTGAAGGAGGACCCACGATACACACATCGTCCACCAACAATGTACAGGTAACTTTGCTTGATTCATCGTCTCTGGAAGTGTTCCAAAGAACTTGGTAGAAATGAGTATTTTTTGCTGAACAGGCTCAGTCTACCGGCGAGGATTCGAATTCGATGTCGGACAATGAGGAGGAAATGTCAAACAACGACAGTATCCTGAATTCTGTGAAAACCGAACCAAGTGACATCCTGAACGATTCTATGGAACACCATCGTAACTCGTTTCATACGACACTTTTGGGAATACCAGGTAATTCATTCGAAGTTTATTACACAATCTTCAGATGATAATTCATGTCAGTATATTTCTTTTATTGACATATATGAATTTTATACAGATACTATACCATATGCACAGTTTTAGCACATAAAAATTTTGATATATTTGTCATGTTAAGAATTTTCATTGTTTTAAATTATTTAGTTATCTCTAACACTTCATACAGAATTGAAAAATGACTTAATTTATAATTATTGAAACTAACTCGTAATTGTTGATAAGACTAACAGAAGAGTAAATTAACGTTGACAGGCAATTTTTCCTTACTTCGAAAGTTATTGTAGGCAATATGTAAGAAAAGTATAATAATTAGAGAAGTATAATAATTTTGGGATTGTGATGAATATTTGCAGGACTGATACCAGGCCCATCCGGGATCCACGCGGCGAATCAGGATCCGAATTTCGGTAAGTGATCAATGCAACGATTCGATTTCACAGTTTATTACGATTTCGATCGCCCAAACTTAGTATCCTCCCGTCGTTCCCTCAAGACTCTGGTCTCTCGTTGTTGCGTTGAATGCATGGAACTCTCGTACCTCTCACAACCCTGCATCCCCTTGCCCAACTACCCCTTGAAAAATAATAAAGAATAAAAGTAAATGAAACGAAGTAACATAGCGAGCAAGAGCCGCGTCTCCGACGGCTCTTCGAGTTTGTTTGCCGGAATAAATGTATCGATCTTCCTTCGCAAAAGGCAGGCTGCTGTCGCTAGAACAGATCGTTAGGGTTGCCATGCGAGTGCCAAGCTTCACTGTTTTACTTGATTTCCTTTAACGAGGCTAAACACGAACTAATTGGTCGATCGGTTGATCTGGTACGAATTCAATCGACTATTAAAACTGTTTATGGACAAAAGCAAAAAATAGAAAGAGAGAAAGAGAAAGAGGGTGGATGTACGGAAATGGCAATGAAGAAGGACAGAGACAAGAAAAACGACAACGTTGATATCCGAAATCTTGAAATAGAGAAAAAAAGTGAGAAAATCATTTGGGGAAATAAAAAATGGGGAGGGAACGAAGTGTGTTGCTCTAGATAACGAAAAACGGAAATAAAAGCATAACCAAATGAAAACGAAGGGCTGTGGGAGGACGGACAAAAAAATTGAATAGTGTTTAAGGGATCGTACGAGGTTGGCTGAGGACTGACATTGGCTGGTGGTTCCAGGGCGATGGCAGCCCTCTGGAGGAGACGGTTCAAGTTCGAGTTCCGGTTGGTTGCCGGCCACGTCCTCCACGGGGAACGATCTCGCGGGATCTGGAACTTACCAGAGCGGAGTTCACAACTCGAAAGGGCAGGATCTGTCGTCCCTCCTCCAGCAGCACCATCATCACCACCTTCACGCCACCAGCCAAGCGTCGCAGCAACACGCCCTCAATGCCTTGAACTCCCTGAACAGCCTGAATACCGAGCAGCTGACGATGATGCATCAGAAACTGCAGAACAATCTGCAGAGTCTGCAGCAACAGCAACAGCAACAGGGTGCCACGTCGAAGAGTAAAATTCAAGAGAGCATCGCGTTGTTCCATCAGCAAACGTCGCGACGCTATCAGCAACACCAGCACCAACATCATCAGTCGGACAACGTGAATCAGTCTGGCAAACCGAAGTGTCCGGAGTGCGGGAAAATTTACTCGAACAACTCGAATTTGAAACAACACATCGTGAACGTGCACACGGTCCAGACCGAGTACGTGTCGTGTCACGTGTGCAGCAAGCAATTCAAAACGAAGCAGTACCTTCAGATACATCTGTTGTCGATGCACGGGATCAGGAAACGAAAGAGTTATCCGTTGTACCAGATGCAGTCGCAGATGCAGCAGCAACAATCGGTGCCGTCTGGATCGCAGATCTCGTCAGGCAGCCAGCAGTCGCAACAGTAATACGCGATGATCCAAGGACAAAAGGATCCGTGTGCACGTGACTTGTGTATCGACGAACTTAATCGACGAGAAACACGTGATTTTACCCCTTGACGAGGGGTGGAAACACAGGGTCGAAAGTGAACATCGACTGACGCAGTATTCGGCGAATCGAGTCTGAACTTCCAGAATGTCCGAAGGAAGGCAGCTACTATATGACCTCGCAATAATAATCGTAGCAGTTGTTCATAAGTTGTAAAATTGTATAGGGAATTAAACGGCGCGTCTCCGTGTGAACGTTAGTTAGGTAGTTTTGATTACTTATATTTTTTTTCTTGGGTTTCCGAAAGTTTTGATAGTCGAGGACGAAAGGAGGGAGGTGGCGATAATAGTAGGCAGTGGAGGGCGAAAGGAGGGTGCTGATACGAGGATTGGCCGACCTATTTTCGTATTGTACCGCAGTGCGCAGCCAATCCTTCGGGGCTGCGATAAGTAAGCTCCCGCGATTGGCCAACAGAGGCTTCTTGAAATTCTCTCGCAGGGAATTCTTATCGGCGTAAAAATAGTAGAATAAGAAGACAGAAAGTAGTTCAGTGAGAACTCTGTATTCTCTACCCCGTTCGTTTTCCTTTCTTCCTTTTTTTTTTTGAGGATCCGCGGGACTAAAAGGAAAACCAGGTCTTCAGGATGAAAAGCGCTGAAAAATAACCGCTAATGGAATCTTTTCTTTTCTTAACCGATTAAATTTTCAACGAGTCATCTTGCGGGTTGGATCGAACGAATTATTTCCAACCATGTGGAAGGCACCAACCCGAATTCCACGATTTCTGACGCAATATTCGCGCGTCGCTTGCCTTCAGCGGCGCACCTTTGCAGGCTGCTTTTAAAATATTGACACGCTTGGCTAAAACCGGTAGCTAGAAATGCAACGAGCGCGTTCCATTTGCTCTCCGTCCCTTTCGCGTCTTGACGAACCACATTTTGCTGCATTGCCACGTGTGTGCGCGCGTGAAGGTGTGCTTTCAGACACACGTGCGAACACCCCGACACACACACCGATACGTGCACACGTCGAATGCCCGCGCACATTTAGGCTCACGGAATTACGAGGCAGAAAGAGATAGACTGGCTTGTATTGATCTCGAGGATTCAACAAACAGCACCTAGTGCCGCCCGCTCCTTCCTCTCCAACTTCACTTTACTCTTCCACCCTCTGCCTTCACCCTCTTTACTTCGTTCTCCACGTATTCCACACAATTCGACTCGTCTTCTGGCTAGAGTTTGATCATCAACCCCTCTCCTAAAGATAGTTTCCAGCATCCCTAGTACTTCAACTTCATCCTGAAATTGATTTATTATCCCTATTATAGAACCGCCAAACTTATGGATCAATATTTTTAGGTCGGAGTTTTCAGAAAAATTAGTTACAAAATTTTCCTATGCACTTTGCACAAAATTAACCCTTTGAAGGTTATTGGACTGTTCACAAACAGCAACTTTAAAACTTAGTTAAAAAGTTAAATGAATTCCCTTAAGGTTATTCTTTCTCTACTAATAATTTGCATTGTTTGTTTCATTATGTTTATACGTCACACGTGTCATATTATAGAATCAGTTAAAAAATACTTATTTCAAATTATTGTATTAAATAGAATGGTGACTGAGAGTCACCTCTCGCAAATGGTTAAATTTGATTTTTGTTTGAAGTCAAGTCTACCACCCCTAAATGTCTGCGACCTGTTAGGTTCTAAATGGTCAGTCTGACAATTTTTTAGTTTGGGTCGTTAGAAAAGAATTACAACAGTAATCTCGAATAAAGAGAGATAAAGCTAGACTCTCGAACGAAGTATCAGTCTGATAGATCCACGGATCCGAGTGTCCATTGTTAATGGGGTGTGTGTCAGTCTCGAGTCCGTAGATTCACGATTTTCAAGGGTGAAGAGAAAGAAAGTTGCACGCAACACGCGATACACACCCCTACGATCCCGAGCCACGCGATGCCTAGCTCACGATCAGCCTATCACCCTCATTGCGAACCCCTGGCAAAACAAACCCAGCCGGTTTATCCAATTCCACGGTATTTCCACGAATCTCTTCCATCTCCTGTCCGTGCTACCCAACCCTGACGTTCGCAGTTCCAACGTAATGGAGGTGGATACTCGCATTTGTTCCAGTCACACCCTCCTCGCCTCCTCTAACCCTTCACCCTCCCTTCGGTTCTTGGCCGCTTGTACTTTCCGCTTTCTCTTCGTTTTTACCTTCACCCTGCAATCCCGGTTGGTTTCTTCGTGTTCTTATTTCGTGGCGACCGCATGAAACTGCACCGTCTTTTCAAAGCTTCCTCTCTAAAAGCTCTCGCAAGAAACCGCTTCGATTTTCGAGGAGGTTCCTTGCCGTTCTTGAACTAAATAGTGAACCTTTTACTACGTTTTCTTTTAATTATAAATCTTTACCGATTCCAAGTTTTTAAACAGTTATTGTTCAATATTCGAAGGATTCTACGAACCTACGTCTGTTTTTGTGATTCGTTGGCTTATCGTCGGTCACCCAATTGGAAATCCTAGCTTACGCTCGCGAGATCGACTCTCGATTCGCTTCACCCCGCAGATTAGAGTCATCTATCACCCGGATTCGATCCGGATAACTTTGCCGTTCGTTTCGGTCCCGATTCGATTCTTATCAGTCTGACGAGTTTCTCTGATAACAATGGCGTGCTTTCTGCTACCGTTCTGCCTACCGTTCTGCCCCTGTGCGCCATGTTCGACATACTCGAAATTAAAAACAGTAATACCTTGTAATAAGCTTTGTACCGCTCTATGTACATACACCCCGTTACACCCTTCATTCCCCTCTTCCTTTACACACGTTCCTTCCTTTCTTCCACACACGTTGCACATAAATTACCAAAAACACCGATCTCGAATTTCCATCGAACGTAAGAATGAAATGTTTTGAAAAGATTCGGGCAAGAGCCACGTGCGATAATCCATCTTCGTAGAGGAAGCAAAGACAAAAAGAACGAGGAACAGGAAACGAGATGGAATATGGGATATTGTGGCCTACTTGGGTGGCGACGATCAGATACATCGGGGGTTGGTAGGAAGATGGCTGCTCATAGAAAGCAGGAAAAGGATCGCTGAAAGAATAAAAATGGGATTTCGTGCGATAAGCAGACCAAACCCGGATCGTGGCCGTACGGCGTCGAGTTCAAATGTTTGCTCGCTCGATTCCCTCTTCTACCCCAACCAGGCGAATTTTTTTGTCTTTGCTATTTTTTCCCGGTCCACCTTATCCAGATCTCGCCGTCCTTCTCCTTTCCCGTCTACTTAATGTTCTGGAATCCTCTTTTTCTACGCTTTCACCCTCGTGGCATGCACGTGCTGGTTGCGCGCGCGTGGGCGCGACCGGCCACAAGGAGGGTTGCTCGACCCGAAGGGTTCATCGTATATTGCGTCGTCCGGACAAATGACAATTGCAATTCCCTTTTGGAATCTATCGTATTAGTCTGCTGTTCCGATCCCTCTTGATTGCCGCACAAAACTGCCT